TGTGCAACCATTATCATTATTAGATGATTAAATGATTTTAAGACCTTTCAACCACTCTAAAAAGAAACCTTATACCTACATTAGCAGTTACTCCTCATGCCTTTTAACCACTGTGTCCCCTGCCCTCAATCCTCAGCAACCATAAACTACACTCTTTCTCTTCTAGATTTACCTAATTCTGGACAGTTCATATAAATGGAATCATAGAAAATGGGGTCTTTTGAGCCTAGCTTCTTTCACTTAGCATATGGTCTTGAGATTGATCCATACTGTGTCATGTACCAGTTCATTCCCTTTTATTGCCAAATAATATTTGACTGTATGGATACATTCTCATTTTATTTATTCAGTTGATAGACATTTGGGTTGTTTCTACTTTCTGCTTATGAATAAGGTTGTTATAAACGTGTGTACATATTTTTTTGTGGACATGTGTTAATTTATCTTCGGTATATACCTAGGAATGGAACTGTTGGGTCGTATTGTAATTCTATGTTTAACATTTTGAGGGAACTGCCATCCCGTTTTCCAGAGTGACTGTACCATTTTACATGTCTACCAGCACTATATGAGGGTTCTAATGTATTCACTTTTGCTCGAATCTTAAATAAGAATGATCTCACTCTGTGATATCCTTACCCTCATGGAACTTACATTCTAGTGGAAAAAGAAATAAATAGAAACAAACATGCTAATTTCAGATAACTAAGAAAAAGGAGAAAACAAGAGAGTAATGGAACCAAAAGAAAAGGGTGGTCAAAAAGACCTCACTGAGAAAGTAAGGTTGACCTGAAATATGAATAGCTGGAGGAGAGATATTCCAGGCAGTGGAAACAGCTAGAAATAAAAGCGATAAAAGAAGTTTGGCACATTCAAGGAACAAAAAGGAAGCCAGTGTGGCTGATGCATAATGAAGAGGCAGAGAAAGCAGGAGATGAAGTTGGGGAGGTAAGCAGAGGCCAGATGATATTGGGCCTCAGAGACCACAGTAACGTCTTTGGATTTTAAAATGCCACCACCCCTTGTATTTCTTTTCAATCCTTTGTATTTCTTTAAAGATAGGTGTTCATCTGTGAAAATATTTATTAAACTGTCACATATCTTCTGATTGCATCTAACAGTACCAAAGATTAAAGAGACCATTTGGGTAAATAAGTGCAATTCAAGGGGCATCTGGGTAGCTCAGTCGGTTAAGCAGCCGACTTCGGCCCATGTCATGATATCACGCTTCATGAGTTTGAGCCCCATATCAGGCTCTGTACTGACAGCCCAGAGCCTGGAGCCTGCTTCAGAATCTGTGTCCTCCCTCTCTCTGCCGCTCCCCTGCTTGCACTCTATGTCTCTCTCTCTCAAAAGTAAATAAACATTAAAAAAAAAATAAAAATAAATAAATGCAGTTCAATTAGTATCACTTTATTCTGTGGTCCAGGAGAGAACACCTAAAATGTGACTACCAATGGCCTTTTAGTAACAAGGCAAGAGCACAAATTTATCACCTAGTCTTAACCTATTTAAGGTGTATGCCTTACTGACAGTAACTAGCACCTCAGTCTTAGAATATTAAGGTCATTTTCTTTTTTTTTTTTTTTTTTAATTTTTTTTTTCAACGTTTATTTATTTTTGGGACAGAGAGAGACAGAGCATGAACAGGCAAGGGGCAGAGAGAGAGGGAGACACAGAATCGGAAACAGGCTCCAGGCTCTGAGCCATCAGCCCAGAGCCCGACGCGGGGCTCGAACTCACGGACCGCGAGATCGTGACCTGGCTGAAGTCGGACGCTTAACCGACTGCGCCACCCAGGCGCCCCAAGGTCATC